ATTGTCTTATTGAAAAACAAATGATAGTCCCACTAAGCCCAAACCAGATGGGATGGCGTATCGCTGCAGAATGCTGTGGTAGCCATGCTGGTTAAGTGTGCCTTTAATTCTAAATAAATCGTAGACCGTGTCACCAGCAAATCACCCCCACCACATAACACCACCTCCTCCATGCTTAACGGTGGGAAATTCACATGCAGAGATAATCTGTTCACCCACACCGCGTGTCACAAAGACACGGCGGTTGGAACCATAAATATCCAATTTGGACTCAAGATGAAAGGACAAATTTCCATGGTCTAATGTCCATTGCTCGTGTTCCTTGGCCCAACCAAGTCTCTTCTTCTTATTGGTGTCCTTTAGTAGTGGTTTCTTTGCAGCAATTCGACCATGAAGGCCTGATTCACACAGTCTCCTCTGAACAGTTGATGTTGAGATGTGTCTGTTACTTGAACTCTGTGAAGCATTTATTTGGGCTGCAATTTCTGAGGCTGGTAACTCTACTGAAGTTATCCTCTGCAGCAGAGGTAACTCTGGGTCTTCCATTCCTGTGGCGGTCCTCATGAGAGCCAGTTTCATCATAGCGCTTGATGGTTTTTGCGACTGCACTTGAAGAAACGTTCAATGATCTTGAAATGTTCCGTATTGACTGACCTTCATGTCTTGAAGTAGTGATGGACTGTCATTTCTCTTTGCTTATTTGAGCTGTACTTGCCATAATATGGACTTGGTATTTTTCCAAATAGGGCTATCTTCTGTATACCCCTCCTACCTTGCCACAACACAACTAATTGGCTCAACACATTAAGAAGGAAATAAATTCCACAAATTAACTTATAAGAAGGCACACCTGTTAATTGAAATGCATTCCAGGTGACTACCTCATGAAGCTAGTTGAGAGATTGCAAAGAGTGTGCAAAGCTGTCATCAAGGCAAAGGGGGGCTATTTGAAGAATCTCAAATATAACATTTATTTGGATTTGTTTAACACTGTTTTGGTTACTACATGATTCCATATGTGTTATTTCATAGTTTTGATGTCTTCACTATTATTATACAATGTAGAAAATAGTAAAAAATGAAGGAAAACCCTTGAATGAGTAAGTGTGTTCAAACTTTTGACTGGTAGTGTATTTTTTTGATCATGATGAAGTTATTGATTACACTTTGGATGGTGTATAAATACACCCTGTCACTACAAAGATAAAGGCATCCTTTCTAACTCAGTTGCCGTAGAGGTAGGAAACAACACCTCCACTTTGCTGATCCTCAACACTGGGGCCCCACAAGGGTGCGTGCTCAGCCCCCTCCTGTACTCCCTGTTCACCCATGACTGCGTGGCCAAGCACGCCTCCAACTCAATCATCAAGTTTGAAGAATGTGTAGTCCCGTGTAGCTCAGTTGGTAGAGCATGGCGTTTGCAACGCCAGGGTTGTGGGTTCGATTCCCACGGGGGGCCAGTATGAAAATGTATGCACTCACTAACTGTAAGTCGCTCTGGATAAGAGTGCTAAATGACTAAAATGTAAGACGACACAACAGTAGTAAGCTTGATTACCAACAATGACGAAACAGCCTACAGGGAGGAGGTGAAGGCTCTGGGAATGTGGTGCCAGGAAAATAACCTCTCATTCAACATCAACAAAACAAAGGAGATGATCGTGGACTTCAGGAAACAGCACAGGGTGCACCCCCTATCCACATCGAAGGGACCGCAGTGGAGTAGGTAGAACGCTTCACTGCCAAACTGAAATGGTTCCCCCACATAGACAGTGTGGTGAAGAAGGCGTAACAGAGCCTCTTCAACCTCAGGAGGCTGAAGAAATGTGGCTTGGCAACTAAAACCCTCACAAACTTTTACAGATGCACAATTGAGAGCATCCTGTCGGGCTGTATCACCGCCTGGTACGGCAACTCCACCGCCCGCAACCGCAGGGCTCACCAGAGGGTGGTGCGGTCTGCCCAACACATTACCGCGGGCAAACTACCCGCCCTCCACCTACAGCACCCAATGTCACAGGAAGGCCAAAAAGATCATCAAGGACATCAACCACCCGAGCCACTGCCTGTTCACCCCGCTATCATCCAGAAGGCGAGGTCAGTACAGGTGCATCAACGCTTGGACCGAGAGACTGAAAAACAGCTTCTATCTCAAGGCCATCAGACTGTTAAATAGCTGTCACTAGCACATTGGAGGCTGCTGCTGCCTATAGAAATCACTGGCCACATTAAGAAATGGAACACTAGTCACTTTAATGATGTTTACTTATCTTGCATTACACATCTCATATGTATATACTGTTTTCTATAATATTCTACTGTATCTTAGTCCATGCCGCTGTGTCATTGCTCGTCCATATATGTATATATTGTTAATTCCATTCCTTACTTAGATTTGTGAAATTGTTAGATATTACTGCACTGTCAGAGCTAGAAGCATAAGCATTTCGCTACACCTGCAATAACATCTGCTAAACATGTGTATGTGACAAATAAAATGTGATTTGATTTGGTAGGAATTTCACCATGAGGCCAATGGTGACTTTAAAACAGTTATAGAGTTTAATGGCTGTGATAGGAGAAAACTGTAGTTACTCTACAATGCTAACCTAATTGACAGAGTGAAAAGAAGGAAGCCTGTACAGAATAAATATATTCCAAAACATGCATCATGTTTGCAATAGGGAACTAAAGTAAAACTGAAAAAAATTTGGCAAAGAAATTAACTTTATGTCCTGAATACAAAGCGTTATGTTTGGGGCAAATCCAACCCAACACATCACTGAGTACTACTCTTCATATTTTCTAGCATGGTGGTGGCTGCATCATGTTAATGGTATGCTTGTCATCTGTAAGGACTAGGGAGTTTTTTAGGATAAGAAGAAACTGAATAAAGCTAAGCACAGGTAAAATCCAAGAACCTGGTTGTCTGCTTTCCAACAGACACATGGAGACATTCACCTTTCAGCAGGACAACAACCTATAACACAAGGCCAAATATACACTGGAGATGCTTACGAAGACAACATTGAATGTTCCTGAGTTGCCTAGTTACGGTTTTTACTTAAATCGCCTTGAAAATCAATGGCAACACTTCAATGGCTGTCTACCAATGATCAACAACCAACTTGACAGAGATTGAAGAATTTAAATAAGAACGTGCAAATATTGTGCAAAGCTCTTAGAGACTTACCCAGAAATATTCACAGCTGTAATCATTGCCAAAGGTGCTTCTACATAATATTGACTCGTGTAAATACTTATGTTAATTAGGTATTTCTGTATTTCACTTTATAATTATGGGATACTGTGTGTAGATGGGTGAGATTATTATTATTATTATTATTATTATTATTATTATTATATTTATGTATTTATTTATTTGTTAATCCTTTTTGAATTCAGGCTGTAACACAACAAAAATGGAATAAGTCAAGGGGTATGAATACTTTCTGAAGGCGCTGTATGTGCAGGGAATGTATGCTTTCAGAGAAAAGAGTTGGTGACCCCTCTAAAACTGCAAGAGAAAGAAGTAACATTTTGTGTATGGGTGAATTGTGTGTCTGTGTTTGTAAGCCTTCATTGACCGTTGTGTGTAGAGTGTTGCATTGGAGAGACTTGTAAAGCTGTTCAACTTCATAAAATCAAGAACATATTCAGCACTTTATAACATCAGTCCTCTATAATGCCCTATTGGAGGAACTATTTGTATACAGTATAGGGTAGGCTTTCTCTTTTTGTTTGTAAAGCCCTGTGTCGCTCAGTTGGTAGAGCATGGCGTTTGCAACGCCAGGGTTGTGGGTTCGATTCCCACGGGGGGCCAGTATGAAAAAAAACTAAAAGATGTATGCACTCACTAACTGTAAGTCGCTCTGGATAAGACCGTCTGCTAAATGACTAAAATGTAAATGTAAAATAAAGCCCTCTTGCACAAACTTCCGCCGTACATTACTTCATTGTTAAACTACAGACTTACGAGTCCCCAAACCTGATCACCGGCTAACTCTAGAGAAACCGTTGATCTCTACGTAATTAGGTAAATCTACATCCAGTGTTTTTGCGCCCTGTGTTTGGAATGATCTGCAGAGCTCTCTGCACCTTAGTGCTCTGTTACCTCTAGGCAGTTCCGGTTGTTGATGGAGGACCTCATTGTTGAGGAATGTGATTGCTTTTCTTAAAGGGATACTTCGGGATTTTGGCAATGAGACCCTTTATCTACTAGCATGCTAGCAGATACCCATAGACTTCCAGTCATTGTGCTATCGCTAGTTAGCACTGGCTTGTGAAAGTACCTCTAACTTCCTTCATACTGGACACAGACGTATAAAAATGATATCGACGAGTTCATCTGACTCTGAGGAAGTATATGAAGGGCCTCGTTGCCAAAATCCAGAAGTTTCCCTTTAAATTGCCTGCAAATATTGTTTTTATTGTGTTGTCTTTGTAAATGTTGTACATGTGTATGATTTGTGTTCATGCAGTGCTCCCTTGGAAAAGAGGCCTTGGTCTAAATGGGATCTCCCAGCTAAAATAAAGGTTAACAAAATGTTCACTGGTACCAATCACGTATTATTGACATTGGCTGGACCATGCAAAGTTCCATTGCCCACAGGTAGCTGAGCTAGCGTACATATTGAAAACCAGTACACTACTCGTTAAATCCTACTCCTTGTAGAAAAGTTAGTCAAAACCTGAAGAGAAAGCTCACCTCGGTGTGACTTCACACCTCTTTCTTTCCAGTGGTAAATCTTCTCCAGAGGATTCTGAGGTAATTGCAGGGTTTGCAGGAATCCCAGTAAATTGCGGGTAATAACAGTGGTCACATTTGCATAAAAGCTTTCCGATACTCACTGAGAGAGACAGCAGATTTCTAGTCTGTCTCCGCGTTCAAGCGCCCTTTTTGAGTGTGTGCTAGCATCTGAACTACTACTCACCTGCCTCTGTGGCACAGCTCACCTACTTGCCTACACGCATGTTAATGGCCGTAGCATAGCGTCCTAATGGGGCTGATAGTGATGTCAGACAGGCAGGTGGGACTCTCTGCCTGTATGTTCAGATCCTCTGGTACATACTGAACGTAACAATGTTATGCAGTTATTCTATTAATTGTCTGGTGCAAAGAGCTATCATACAAAGAGCTGTTTAACTATGGAATATATTCTAATAGTAGTCTAAAATATGGAATATGGTCTAGAAATTGGCTACAGCAGATTTGAATTCAAACTGATTTGTTCAATTTAGTCTGACTGGCCGGAGGTAACTGAGTTCATTACTGTCGCAGAGCCAGGCCTTCTGGGCTGTTGTTAGTTTCTGCGGCCCGACCCTATTTGTGCCTAGTTCCTTATTCCACTCCATTATTTCTTCCCAGTGCACCAGCCAAGACAACAGAACACAACACACCAGGAAACTGTGTCACTTTTTTTTCTCAAACAAAGTACACACACACACACACATTCTGAAGAATCAGGCTTACAGCCGAGAGAGCTTGTTGTAAATAGATTGCTTGTGATGTCAATATTCGGCTGTTTCCCAGGTTAGTGGAATCAAGGCTGAGACCTGACAGTGACAAAGATTCCACACGCGCATGCATACACACAGACACAGAGGGAGATGGAGTGGCAATGAATAAGTTGGATGCTAAGGGTCACTGAACTCTACTTCCCCTCGCCGACACATCTCAACACGCTCTCTCTCTCACTCCCTCACTGTCTCGCTCTCTCTTTCTCTGTCCTTCTCTCAGCACATATCCATGCTGCAGGCATAGGTTAATTCTAGACTTGGTTTCCTCCATAGTAATCGCTCCTCTTTCACCCCAACTGCCAAACTAACCCTCATTCAAATGAAATAGATCGGCAGGTAAGGGGGCTCTCGAGCGGCTAGATGTTCTTTATTATTAGGCCTTTAGATTTGATAGCAATGCTCCTTATAGGACACTCCACTGCACTCTGTACTCCTCTGTAAATTGGCCATCTCTGTATACCCGGCGCAAGACCCACTGGTTGATGCTTATTTATAAAACCCTCTTAGGCCTCACTCCCCCCTATCTGAGGTACCTACTGCAACCCTCATCCTCCACATACAACACCCGTTCTGCCAGTCACATTCTGTTAAAGGTCCCCAAAGCACACACATCCCATGGTCACTCCTCTTTTCAGTTTGCTGTAGCTAGCGACTGGAACGAGCTGCAAAAAACACTAAAATGACAGTTTTATCGCCATCTCTAAATTCAAAGACTCAATCATGTACACTCTTACTGACACTTGTGACTGCTTTGCGTGATGTGTTTTTTGTATCATTTTGTCCTTTGTGCTGTTGTCTGTGCCTAAAAGTGTTTGCGCTGCTACCATGTTGTGCTGCTACCATGTTGTGTAGTTGTCATGCTATGTTGCTACCAGGTTGTCGTGTTGTTGCTGCCATGTTGTGTTGTCTTAGGTCTCTCTCTATGTAGTGTGGTGGTGTCTCTTTTGTCATGATGTGTGTTTTGTCTAGGGCTGGGCGATATTACCAAAATATCATATCACAGTATGTTTTAAAAAATTTGACGGTTTGACGGTATTTAATGTTTTGAATGTTATGTTTCTTCATTTCCTGCACTCATGTGAGGTCATTTCCACACTGCCAGGTAGGGCTGCACAATATGGGCAAACAATCTAGGCCTTATTTTTTACCAAAATGTTGCAATTGCAATTTGACTTGTGATTTGGCGCAAAACACTTTGGTGAACTGTTGGAATCATGGAAATAGAATGATTATTCTAATTATATAGTTAGAATATAATAGTGGCCACTTTGAATACAGTGTTTGACATGACAACAAATTAAAATGCCAAGGAGGAGTTGTTCTGACAGGGTAGGAACCAAAGTGTTGACAAGTGTTTCCTAGGGGACCCTATAATCTTTGGCTACATTTTAATGTTTTCTCATAGCTACTTCATGTAGCGAACATATTCTTGCTTTGCGTATTCCTCTTTGATTTAGAAGATACTGTTGCACAAAAAACATGCAGATGTAGGTCTACACCATCACGGGTATTATCAGGCTGTATAGCTAGTTACATTTGCTCTGACTCAGTACATTTATTAGCTAGCTAGCGATTAGCATTAGCGGCTAACAAGATTTAGGCCCAACTTACTGAGAAAAGACAAACTAGCTGTTTGCCGATGTAAGAAACACAAACGAATAGTGTAATTATAGAACGTTACTGAATTTATATTAAGAAGCAAAGTGAAAACAGCCTCGTTGTCATCAACATTGTTGCATATGCTGCATTGACCATGCAGAGACTGAACACAAGTGTCTACTGGTCGAGGAGGAACAACAAATGCGCTCCTTGAGTGAAGGGGCTAGGTCTGTGTGGAAAGTGACATGGAGAGAGAAAGAGAGAGGAGAGAGATGACTCAAGTAGTGAAGTAAACTATAAAAATGGATCTTACACACGCCGTATCACATTTAACAAACGAAACATTCAAATACCGTTATAGAAGGTAAAGTAAAAACCCAAACCGGTCCATTCATCAATCCCTGTATATCATAAAACTGCCCAGCCCTAGTTTTGTCCTACTTTTATTTTTATTTTTTATCCCAGCCCCCATCCTCACAGGAGGCCTTTTGCCTATTGCTAGGCCATCATTGTAAATATGAATTTCTTAATTGACTTGCCTGGTTAAATAAAATACAAACAAATGTCTCTCTCTCTTTCTCGCTCTTTTTCTCTCTCTTTCCCTCTAAGCTGAAGATGCAGATTTAGAATCTGGTAGAAAACCACGAGGCAATATCCATGTTTGCCAGGATCATCGCTTTTTATTGGCTCCTGGGTATATAGCGAAGGTTCAGAGAAGGCTGAACCTCCGCTCAAAGAGATGGATGCCCTTCATGTGTACAGATCAGAGCAATGTTTCTGAACATACCTTAGTGTCAACACACACACACAGCTGAGGTGGGACGGGGCTGGGTCACAGCAGTTCATTCACATCAGTGGATTTGTAAAAAGGTCTCAACAGCCTAGTGTGTGCGTGGAACTCCTGTCTTATGCATTACCATTGATCAGATCAGCGAGCTGTGCCTTGACTTGACGTTTTCATCTAATAATACAACTGGGCTGAAGGAGGTGAATATGCAGGGCACAGCTAACCACAATACACACAAGGGCAAAGGCACACACACACACACACTGTATGCCCATCAGTTTGAGATTAATATGCCCTGACAGGGCTCAGAGCTCTAAGAAAGAACATACTGACCAAAAAAAGGTTTGTGTGTTTCCCTGTGGACCTTTCATTCCCTGTGTCTCCCTCCCAGGTCACTTCAAGCCTCTCCCCGCTCTCATTGATGTGAAAATGCTACTATTGACACAGGAGTATCAATTAACATGTGTATGTGTGTCGATAGGTGGTGTTTATTGTCTTTTGATCCATTCCAGTTCTGTTCTGTTCTGCTGTATCTCCTGAGCCCTGCTGCAGCCCCACTCACACACCCAGCACACAGATCAAAGCCACACTGGCCCCTTTATACACATATAATATTTAAATTGGATGACTTTGTTTATTGTGCTGGCTGGGCCTGGTTAGCATAGGCAACAGCGCACTGAGCTGAGGACAGACTGTGTGTCGAGTGAGGCAGGGTAGAGAGACTTGATGGTGGTAGGACTGGACGGGTAGTGAAACCCCCCCCTTACAATGTCATTGTAAGTCGCTCTGGATAAGAGCGTCTGCTAAATGACTTAAATTGTAAATGTCATCATCATCATCACCACTATCACCTTCATCCTCTAAGGCAGCAGAGTTGCAGGGCTGGTAATTGAATCTGGTAGCTAGGATATAGGCTATTGAAGCAGACATACAGAAACGAGTCTACAACCGTCTGAAGCAGTTTATTTCAAAAAGCCTAGTCCTCCACTAATCTGGAAAACCTTGCCTGATGGCTCTAAACTATTACATGTCTATGCAATACTGTACATGCATAGTGGAATCATAACCAGTCTATTCACCTATCATCAGTGCTGGTGAAGGGAAAGAGATGTGAGGTAAAAGAGGATTGGAGTGCTCAGTCAGTCAGCCGATGATCTGCTTCCCTGTTATTCCTCTCTGAGGTAAAACATTTATAAATAAATCACTAGGGAGAAATGATTTGCCTGGCTACCCAAACTCCTTGCACCGGATATTCTCCGCAATGAGTCTGGATCTGAGTACCTCCCCGATGATTTCAAGAATGCAAACACATTCTAACCGTTCTGAATGACTACTCTATATGACACTCAGCGAAACAGCACTGAGGCAAAGCTACTGAAGTGTGTGTGTGTGTGTGCGCCAGGGTTTCCGTTAGATAAATGTAGCACCGGACAACTGACCGGGAAGATTTTTATTCATCAGACATTTGAGACATTTACCGGTCATCCAAGCATTGGGTCCGTAACTCTTTAGGGCGTCCACCAACGCAGCCAGCACCATCAATAAACAAGGGATATTGGCCAAATGAGCCACATTTACGTGTCCTTAAAAACGGCCTATAAAAATTTCTAAAACACTATTCCTTGTGTTTTGATGTGTGGCATATGCTAAACTTTATAACCTATTGTTTTATTGGTTTTTACTTTACTAAAACAATAATTGTCCACCTCACGGTTCAGCTGTCGGAGATTTGAACGCTAAATGCATCAGGGCATTGCATGCGGCCTATATACTTAGACGTCCACTGTATGATATTAATATTTAAAAAATAAATATAAAGGAAGATAATCTTAGGCCTGCTCCATATTGCAGCAATTACCTAGAAAGGCTAGTGCCTACTGTACCCAACAAATTACAGCAATAGGCTAACACAATTTAAAAATGTAATTTAATTTAGCCAACGAAAAATGTCTCAACAGAATGAAACCAAACACGTGTTTGCGTTTTTAAAAACTGGTTTAGATGAATAAATAGGCCTACAATAATAATGGTATACAGTAATAATAATAAATAGTTATAAATACAGTTTAAAAAAAATAAAAGTTAAAAAATTGCATCCGACCTGAATAGCAAGTTGCACCGTAGCCTGTGTTTGGCTGCACCAAAGTTCTTCTCATCTTTGTCCACTACAATATTAAAACTTGTCCATACGGAGGACATTCCCCTTGTAGGCTTTTCGCTATAAGCATACTATCCAACTTTCGTTTTGCTTCAATGGAAAAGGTCACCAATCTTCGCAATCAACAGTAGCCTAGGCCAAGGCTCCTCTCTCGCTTTCTCTCTCTCCTCAGCAGCAGACACATGCACATAAGGCAGCGCGCAAGGAGTGAGAGAATGTTGCTGAAACGTGAAATCGGGGTGTATGATAGGCAACCTATTTGACCTAGATAGATTGTGTGTATGTATTGATATGTAGGCTACGTGTGCCTTTTAATAAAATGTATGTCGTTCTGTCCTTGAGCTGTTCATGTCTATTAATGTTCTGTATTTTTGTAATGTTTCATGTTTTGTGTGGACCCCAGGAAGAGTAGCTGCTGCTTTTGCAAAAGCTAATGGGGATCCTAATAAAATTCCAAACCCCGGACAATTTGGTCGGCTACAATTTTATCGGCTTTTAATTTATTTTATTGGCCGAAAGCCTGCAATTACCTGCTAAGGGAAACCCTGGTGTGTGTGCAGGCTGTCCTTTCCGTGTGTGTGCATCTATTTGTGTGGGAGGCTGCATCAGCCTCTAGCAAACTGTCAGTCTCTCATCCCCACCCTTGGCTCCCTTTAACCCAGAGAGAGAGAGAGAGAGAGAGAGAGAGAGAGAGAGACTCAATCACTTTACTGCCCTGAACCGCCCGGCTAACCACCAAAGCCCCTGTAGCCATGACAACGCTTAGATGGGATCCTTTCTGCTTTTACCCATTTGCTCGTCTCAGTCAGTCATTGTAGAGTGCGGAGGGAGAGGAAGCTGAGATAAGGAGGGACTCAATTCAATGTGTTTGTAAATGCCCACCTGTCCCCCTTGTGTGAATGCAATAAATATATAATGTCCTCTGTTACATTGGAATAGGGGGAAGGTAGAGGGCCGCAATTTATGTTGTCCCCCTTCCTGTAGAGATATCTCTTCTCTTTTTTCCTAGTTTCTGCAAGTCGATTTTGGCCTAGCTCTCCTGCTCTCAAGTGTCTCCCCTCTGAGTCTTTATGAAGAGGGAGGATTTCAGCATCGTATTATAAAAGATTATTGCTCCTGAAAGAGTCCCTGAGCCCCTCTTCCTCTCTCTAGCATTTTCTCTCTGTCTCCTCTCTCGCTCTCTTCCCCCCCCTCTCTCTCTCTCTCTCTCCCTCCCTCCCCCCTTCCCCCCTCTCTCTTCTTCACACTCTCACTCTTCCTCTCCCTCTGTATCTCTAAAGCTTAGTGAGGGTCTACTTCAGCAGAAAGTGTTGTTATCTCATGCTGCTCTTGATAGGCAACTGGGGTACCATAACAAAGAGCACAGGATGAAGGGGTCGGAAAACAATGGGCTCACTCCAAAGATGTTAATATTCTTGTGAAGAGGTTTAGACCCAAAACAGACACTTACCTTTGCAGCACACTACCTTCTAAGACAGCTAGCTAACGTTTGCGACTAACACTAAACAAACGGAATGTGTCAGCTTGTGTTAACGTTCACAAACTAGCCATTTCCCTTGTTGAACGTACTTCTGGTAAATAGAAGAGTGCTGTCCAAATCATCTCTAGTCAACGGGTTCTTTAAAGGAAGAGAGCGTTTACAGTGAGGGAAAAAAGTATTTGATCCCCTGCTGATTTTGTACGTTTGCCCACTGACAGACATGATCAGTCTATGATTTTAATGGTAGGTTTATTTGAACAGTGAGAGACAGAATAACAACAAAAAAATCCAGAAAAACGCATGTCAAAAATGTTATTGATTTGCATTTTAATGAGGGAAATAAGTATTTGACCCCTCTGCAAAACATGACTTAGTACTTGGTGGCAAAACCCTTCTTGGCAATCACAGAGGTCAGAGGTTTCTTGTAGTTGGCCACCAGGTTTGCACACATCTCAGAAGGGATTTTGTCCCACTCCTCTTTGCAGATCTTCTCCAAGTCATTAAGGTTTCGAGGCTGACGTTTGGCACCTCGAACCTTCAGCTCCCTCCACAGATTTTCCATGGGATTAAGGTCTGGAGACTGGCTAGCCCACTCCAGGACCTTAATGTGCTTCTTCTTGAGCCACTCCTTTGTTGCCTTGGCCGTGTGTTTTGGGTCATTGTCATGCTGGAATACCCATCCACGACCCATTTTCAATGCCCTGGCTGAGGGAAGGAGGTTCTCACCCAAGATTTGACAGTACATGGCCCCCTCCACCGTCCCTTTGATGCGGTGAAGTTGTCCTGTCCCCTTAGCAGAAAAACACCCCCAAAGCATAATGTTTCTACCTCCATGTTTGACTGTGGGGATGGTGTTCTTGGGGTCATAGGCAGCATTCCTCCTCCAAACACGGCGATTTGAGTTGATGCCAAAGAGCTCGATTTTGATCTGACCACAACACTTTCACCCAGTTCTCCTCTGAATCATTCAGATGTTCATTGGCAAACTTCAGACGGGCCTGTATACGTGCTTTCTTGAGCAGGGGGACCTTGCGGGTGCTGCAGGATTTCAGTCCTTCACGGCGTAGTGTGTTACCAATTGTTTTCTTGGTGACTATGGTCCCAGCTGCCTTGAGATCATTGACAAGATCCTCCCGTGTAGTTCTGGGCTGATTCCTCACCGTTCTCATGATCATTGCAACTCCACGAGGTGAGATCTTGCATGGAGCCCCAGGCCGAGGGCGATTGACAGGTCTTTTGTGTTTCTTCCATTTGCGAATAATCGCACCAACTGTTGTCACCTTCTCACTAAGTTGCTTAGCGATGGTCTTGTAGCCCATTCCAGCCTTGTGTAGGTCTACAAACTTGTCCCTGACATCCTTGGAGAGCTCTTTGGTCTTGGCCATGGTGGAGAGTTTGGAATCTGATTGATTGATTGCTTATGTGGACAGGTGTCTTTTTTACAGGTAACAAGCTGAGATTAGGAGCACTCCCTTTAAGAGTGTGCTCCTAATCTCAGCTCGTTACCTGTATAAAAGACACCTGGGAGCCAGAAACCTTTCTGATTGAGAGGGGGTCAAATACTTATTTCCCTCATTAAAATGCAAATCAATTTATAACATTTTTGACATGCGTTTTTCTGGATTTTTGTTGTTGTTATTCTGTCTCTCACTGTTCAAATAAACCTACCATTAAAATTATAGACTGATCATTTCTTTGTCAGTGGGCAAACGTACAAAATCAGCAGGGGATCAAATACCTTTTTCCCTCACTGTACCTTCTGCCCTTTTTACCGAGTCACGTTGACCTCTTTCTTCCCGGGATCAATACCTATTACAATGAATGTCTCATTAAATTACATTGGGACATATCTCAGGCAGAACCCAGGGCACACTCTGGGAGTAATTCATTTAGCAGGAAGCTTTCTGAAAATGTTGCTTAGTAACCAGTGAGTGAAGCTGGATCATTTTAAAGCTTTTTAATGACTGTTAGCTATCATCTTTGCTAGTCGTCATATTGTCTGTTATGTGGCTGGTATGATTGGGGTTTAGATTCCTTGCTAAGTGACACAGGCAGTAATGGTGTGTTTGTGTGTTCAGCTCCACTTTGTGTTATTCCCTGATTGTTGACACTAATGGATTACTGATGATGATGAACATGATGGCGATGAAGACAATTGAGATGATGATTCTTGAAACACTTGCCAACACCCCTTCTTCTGGCCATACTTGGACCATTCCAACTCCTTCTAAATCTAAGAACATTGGGATCAGGCCCTCTCCCCTGGGCTCGACCACTCTAAAGGCCCCTAAGCCAAATTGAGGCATGGAGGCAGCTTACTCCAGGCTTGGTGGTTTTCAAAGCTGGGGAAATTAATACAGTGTAGTTCCTGCTCCCTGTTAGCAGATAGGAAAAGAGAGGTTTAAAGCTCCTCAATAACTCTGTTTCCACCCTCTATCAGCCATAAACAAAGACACAGAATGAAAATATTGAACGTTGTGTTTTACAAATATGAATCGATTACCGTGGTTGGAAACAGAGATTGAGGAGAGTGGCTTTAGTTAACCCCCTAGGATCAGTGTTTGGACTGACCAACAACACTGTGTTGATTCATGCTTCATCCAACTCTATCTGTCTATCTGTGTGTAGGTGGAGGAGGTGGTGGATGTGGGGACATTTGCTGAAGAGGACATCCACATCCCCAGCATCTACATCCACAGGATCGTCAAGGGAGGCAGCTACGAGAAGAGGATAGAGGTGTGCCTTCTAACATCTCAATGGATTCATGCTGGGTTGCAAAATTATGGTTACTTTCTATGAATTATATTCTTCCTGTCATCTTTGGACTAAGTTGGTGTGCAATCAGGTAATCTCTACCCTGTTCTAGTACCATGGGTAATCAAATGAGTGGCTGAATTACTGTTTAAGAAGGGTTGCAAAAGTTCCGTTAACTTTCCCAGGTTTTCCAGAAATCTCTGTTGGAAGTTCCCCAAACTAGGAGGGAATAAGCAGGAAATCTGGAATCCTCCAACCAGGATTTCTGGAAATCCTGGGAATTTGGGGGGAAATTACAGTTTCCACCCACTGTGATCTATAATTCATCACTCCCAGACCTTTCGTAGTCCAATATGGAAGTGTGGGTAATCAATTGGTACTAAGCCGAGATGACTGTCTCTCTCTCCACTCTCCAGAGGCGTACAGTGCAGAAGGCCCAAGCAGAGAAGCCAAAACCAAAGAAGGACTCTGACATCGTACGGGAGAGGATCATTCGCCGGGCAGCTCTGGAGTTTGAGGATGGGATGTATGGTATCCTTGAACATGAAATGGGAGTTGACCGAACCAATAATCATTGATATCTCACCAAAAGGTGAATTAATAGTAAAGGGTTTAAATGTACCACTGTACTGGTGCTGCCCTATGTACATAGACATTTAATTACTGGTGACTTTAATAATGGAACACTAGTCACTTTAATCATGTTTACATACTGCTTCATATGTATATACTGTATTCTACTGTATTTTAGTCAATGCCACTCCGACATTGATCGTCCTAATATTTATTTTACTTTTAGATTTGTGTGTATTGTTGTGAATTGTTAGATCAAATCAAATTGTATTTGTCACATGCGCCGAATACAACAAGTGTAGACTTTACAGTGAAATGCGTACTTACAAGCCCTTAACCAACAATGCAGGTTTAAGAAAGAATACCAAAAATCACACAAGAAAATACAATAAATAAAAGTAACAAATAATTAAAGAGCAGCAGTAAAAATAACAATAGCGAGGCTATATACAGGGGGTACCGATACCGAGTCAATGTGCGGGGGCACCGGTTAGTTGAGGTAATTGTGGTAATATGTACACTACCATTCAAAAGTTTGGGGTCACTTAGAAATATCCTTGTTTTCGAAAGAAAAGCAATTTTTCTGTCCATTTAAAATAACATCAAATTGATCAGAATACAGAGTAGACATTGTTAATGTTGTAAATGGCTATTGTAGCTGGAAACGGCAGATTTTTTATGGAATATCTACGTAGGCGTATAGAGGCCCATTATCAGCAACCATCAGTCCTGTGTTCCAATGGCACGTTGTGTTTGCTAATCCAAGTTTATAATTTTAAAAGGCTAATTGATCATTAGAAAACCATTTTGCAATTTTGTTAGCACAGCTGAGAACTGTTGTGCTGATTAAAGAAGCAATCAAACTGGCCTTCTTGAGACTAGTTGAGTATCTGGAGCATCAGCAATTGTGGGTTCGATTACAGGCTCAAAATGGCCAGAAACAAATAACTTTCTTCTGAAACTCGTCAGTCTATTCTTGTTCTGAGAAATGAAGGCTATTCCATGCGAGAAATTGCCAAGGAACTGAAGATTGTGTACTACTCCCTTCACAGAACAGCGCAAACTGACTCTAACCAAAATAAAAAGAGGAGTGGGAAGCCCTGGTGCACAACTGAGCAACAGGACAAATACAAACTTTTGAACGGTAGTGTACATGTAGGTAGAGTAATTAAAGTGACTATGCATAGATAATAAACAGAGAGTAGCAGCAGTGTAAAGGGGGGGCAATGCAAATAGTCTGGGTAGCCATTTGATTAGATGTTCAGGAGTCTCATGGCTTGGGGGTAGAAGCTGTTTAGAAGACTATTGGACCTAGACTTGGCGCTCCGGTACCGCTTGCCGTGCGGTAGCAGAGAGAACAGTCTATGACTAGGGTGGCTGGAGTCTTTGACAATTTTTAGGGCCTTCCTCTGACACCGCCTGGTATAGAGGTCCTGGATGGCAGGAAGCCTGGCCCCAGTGATGTACTGGGCCGTACGCACTACCCTCTGTTGCGCCTTATGGTCAGATGCCAAACAGTTGCCATAACAGGCGGTGATGCAACCGGTCAGGATGCTCTCGATGGTGCAGCTGTATAACTTTTTGAGGATCTGGGGACCCATGCCAAATCTTTTCAGTCTCCTTAGGGGGAATAGGTTTTGTCGTGCCCTCTTCACGACTGTCTTGGTGTGCTTGGACCATGTTAGTTTGTTGGTGATGTGGACACCAAGGAACTTGAAACTCTCAACCTGCACCACTATAGCCCCGTCGATGAGAATGGGGTCGTGCTTATTCCTGTAGTCCACAATCATCTCCTTTGTCTTGATCATGGCCAGGTCTCTGACCTCCTCCCTATAGGCTGTATCGTCGTTGTCGGTGATCAGGCCTACCACTGTTGTGTCATCTGCAAACTTAATGATGGTGTTGGAGTCGTGCCTGGCCATGCAGTCATGAGTGAACAGGGAGTACAGGAGGGGACTGAACACGCACCCCTGAGGGGCCCTCGTGTTGAGGATCAGCCTGGCGGATGTGTTGTTACCTACCCTTACCACTTGGGGGCGGCCCGTCAGGAAGTCCAGGATCCAGTTGCAGAGGGAGGTGTTTAGCCCCAGGGTCCTTAGCTTAGTGATGAGCTTTGAGGGCACTATGGTGTTGAACGCTAAGCTATAGTCAATTAATAGCATTCTCACATAGGTGTTCCTTTTGTCTAGGTGTGAAAGGGCAGTGTGGAGCACAATAGAGATTGCATCATCTGTGGATCTGTTGGGGAGGTATGCAAATTGGAGTGGGTCTAGGGTTTCTGGGATAATGGTGTTGTTGTGAGCTATGACCAGCCTTTCAAAACACTTCATGGCTACAGATGTGAGTGCTACGGGTCGGTAGTCATTTAGACTGGTTACCTTAGTGTTCTTGGGCACAGGGACTATGGTGGTCTGCTTGAAACATGTTGGTATTACAGACTCAGACAAGGAGAGGTTGAAAATGTCAGTGAAGACACTTGCCAGTTGGTCAGCGCATGCTCGGAGTACACATCCTGGTAATCCGTCTGGCCCTGCCGCCATGTGAATGTTGACCTGTTTAAAGGTCTTACTCACATCGGCTACGGAGAGCATGATCACACAGTTGTCCGGAACAGCTGATGCTCTCATGCATGTTTCAGTGTTACTTGCCTCGAAGCGAGCATAGAAGTAATTTAGCTTGTCTGATGGGCTCGTGTCACTGGACAGCTCGCGGCTGTGCTTCCCTTTGGAGTCTGTAATAGCTTGCAAGCCCTGTAGTACGATTCGATCTTAGTCCTGTATTGACGCTTTGCCTGTTTGATGGTTCGTCGGTGGGCATAGCGGGATTTCTTATATGCTTCCGGGTTAGAGTCTTGCTCCTTGAAAGCGGCAGCTCTACCTTTTAGCTCAGTGCGGATGTTGCCTGTAATCCTGTTTACATACACTCAATTAGTATTTGGTAGCATTGCCTTTAAATTGTTTAACTTGGGTCAAACGTTTCAGGTAGCCTTCCACAAGCTTCCCACAATAAGTTGGGTGAATTTTGGCCCATTCCTCCTGACAGAGCTGGTGTAACTGAGTCAGGTTTGTAGGCCTCCTTGCTCACACATGGTTTTTCAGTTCTGCCCACACATTTTCTATAGGATTGAGGTCAGGGCTTTGTGATGGCCACTCCAATACCTTGACTTTGTTGTCCTTAAGCCATTTTGCCACAACTTTGGAAGTATGCTTGGGGTCATTGTCCATTTGGAAGACCCATTTGCGACCAAGCTTTAACTTCCTGACTGATGTCTTGAGATGTTGCTTCAATATATCCACATAATTTTCCTTCCTCATGATGCCATCTATTTTGTGAAGTGCACCAGTCCCTCCTGCAGCAAAGCACCCCCACAGCATGAATCTGCCACCCCTGTGCTTCACGGTTGGGATGGTGTTCTTCGGCTTGCAAGCCTTCCCGTTTTTCCTCTAAACATAACGATGGTCATTATGGCCAAACAGTTCAATTTTTGTTTCATCAGACCAGAGGACATTTCTCCAAAAAGTACGATCTTTGTCCCCATGTGCAGTTGCAAACCGTAGTTTGGCTTTTTTATGGCGGTTTTGGAGCAGTGGCTTCTTCCTTGCTGAGCGGCCTTTCAGGTTTTGTCGATATAGAAGTCGTTTTACTGTGGATATAGATACTTTTGTACCTGTTTCCTCCAGCATCTTCACAAGGTCCTTTGCTGTTGTTCTGGGATTGATTTGCACTTTTCGCACCAAACTACGTTAATCTCTAGGAGACAGAATGCGTCTCCTTCCTGAGCAGTATGACGGCTGCGTGGTCCCATGGTGTTTATACTTGCGTACTATTGTTTGTACAGATGAACGTGGTACCTTCAGGCGTTTGGAAATTGCTCCCAAGGATGAATCAGACTTGTGGAGGTCTGCCATTTTTTTCTGAAGTCTTGGCTGATTTCTTTTGATTTTCCCATGATGTCAAGCAAAGAGGCACTGAGTTTGAAGGTAGGCCTTGAAATACATCCACAGGTACACCTCCAATTGACTCAAATTATGTCAATTAGCCTATCAGAAGCTTCTAAAGCCATGACATAATTTTCTGGAATTTTCCAAGCTGTTGAAAGGCACAGTCAACTTAGTGTATGTTAACTTCTGACCCACTGGAATTGTGATACAGTGAATTATAAGTGGAATAATCTGTCTGTAAACAATTGTTGGAAAAATGACTTGTGTCATGCACAAAGTAGATGTCCTAACCGACTTGCCAAAACTATAGTTTGTTAACAAGAAATTTGTGGAGTGGTTGATAAACTCGTTTTAATGACTCCAACCTAAGTGCATGTAAACTTCCGACTTCAACTGTACGTACAGTCACTGTGGGGACGACGTCATCGATGCACTTATTGATGAAGCCAGTGACTAATGTGGTATACTCCTCAATGCCATCGGAAGAATCCCGGAACATATTCCAGTCTGTGCTAGCAAAACAGTCCTGTAGCTTAGCATCTGCTTCATCTGACCACCTTTTTATTGACTGAGTCACTGGGGTTTCCTGCTTTAGTTTTTGCTTGTAAGCAGAAATCAGGAGGTTCGAATTATGGTCAGATTTGCCAAATGGCGGGTGAGGGAGAGCTTTGTATGCGTCTCTGTGTGTGGAGTAAAGGTGGTTTAGAGTTTTTTTCCCCTCTGGTTGCACATTTAACATGCTGGTAGAAATGAGGTAAAACGGATTTAAGTTTCCCTGCATTAAAGTCCCCGGCCAATAGGAGCGCTGCCTCTGGATGAGCGTTTTCCTGTTTGCTTATGGCCGTATACAGTTCATTGAGTGCGGTCTTAGTGCCAGCATCGGTTTGTGGTGGTAAATAGACAGCTACGAAGAATATAGATGAAAACTCTCTTGGTAGATAGTGTGGTCTACAGCTTATCATGAGATACTCTACCTCAGGCGAGCAAAACCTCGAGACTTCCTTAGATATCGTGCACCAGCTGTTGTTTACAAATATACATAGACCGCCACCCCTTGTCTTACCATAAACTGCTGTTCTATCCTGCCGATACAGTGTATAACCCGCCAGCTGTATGTTATTCATGTCTTCGTTCAGCCACGACTCGGTGAAACATAAGATATTACAGTTTTTAATGTCTCGTTGGTAAGATATACGTGCCTGTAGTTCGTCCACTTTATTATCAAGCGATTGTAAGTTGGCCAATAGTATCGATGGCAAAGGCAGATTAGCTGCTCGTCGCCGGCTTTCTTACCAAGCTTCCCGATCTCCTTCCGCGATTACTGCGAATGACGGAGATGAGGGCCTTGTCGGGTGTCTGGAGCAAATCCCTCTCGTCCGACTCGTTAAATAAATAAAAAATATATCATTTGTCCAGTTCAAGGTGAGTAATCGCTGTTCTGATGTCCAGAAGCTCTTTTCGGTCATAAGAGACTAGCAGCAACATTATATGCAAAATAAGTTACAAACAATGCGGAAAAACACACAAAATAGCACGGTTGGTTAAGAGTCCATAAATAGGCAGCCATCCCCTCCGGCGCCATTATATATATAATATACTACTGCACTGTTGGAGCTAAGAACACAAGCATTTCGCCACACCCACAATAACATCTGCTAAATATGAGTATGTGACCAATAAAATTTGATTTGATTTGAGATTGGGAAAGTTCATGATCTTTCACAAACCAACCCTATCAAATAACCCAGGTTTTGGCATTGGTAGTGCAGAATCAGATTACATCAGGGTACTGTATGTCTGTCATGTATTTAGTTTGTGTTCTTTAACATTAACCCCTGTCAGCTAACCTGGGCATTGGCATCCCCATGCTAGCCAGCAACTTCATCCAACCTGACATCACTGTCCACCTGCAGAGTGAGAACGGCATTCTGGGATTGGTAAAACGCTCATTTAAATCCCTCGCATGGTCAAATCACACTAACATGGTTTGACAACAGGTGTTGGGACTGACGTTTGAAAGGTGCCGGATTCCTAACCCAACATTGTGGAGATTGCGAGCATCTGACTTATTTTTCCTCCATCCATTATTTGTATACACAGTTGTGGGCTGTATACAAAGACTGCAGCTCCACCAAGCCTTTCACATCAATTCTGTTGTCAGAGAAATTGAAGCAGAAACATGCCAATGCCTCATTTGTGAGAATGTTCCCCCAATTATGAATGTCAGGTTAATCGATGTGATGTTAGAAGCTCTCTTCCTCTCCACCTTTTTATATTGCTGTAAAGAAACAAGGACTGTACCTTTGTTGAAGGGAGAGAAAATGTGTGTGTGTGGTTATGGTGCTTAGAGACCGGATGTGTGTGATGTGTGTCATTGTGTGATGAATGTGTGTGTTCTGTGTAGGGCCCCTACCCCACAGAAGACGAAGTGGATGCTGACCTCATCAACGCCGGTAAGTGATCTTGCCCCCCCCCCCCCCCCCCCCACACGCGCAAGCGCACACACACGAAACAAACTATCCCATTTATGAGAGATGTTGACATTTCCCCATGTGTGTGTGCAGGTAAAGAAACGGTGACTGTGCTTCCAGGGGCTTCCTACTTCTCCAGTGACGAGTCGTTTGCCATGATAAGAGGGTAAGGACAGTGTAACTGATTTATTGCTGTATGAAGTCATTGAGGCAGAGCGCTCTGTGTTTTTGTTTGTGTGTTCATAGTAAAACTCTAGGGGGCTAGGTTAGGGCTGAATGATCGGGTCACTGTGAAGGGTGAGGGTGATCAGGAGATGAGGGGGCAGGAAGTCTGTGTTGGTGGGCGCGTGTTGGGGTTGTCTTTAAAAGCGATGGTTGTCTGACCAATATTGACATACGTGGATGCCATGAAGCATAATGACCCTTTGTGAGACACATGAAGTCCTATTGAATATGGAATCAGAGACTCACTGATCAGGATATTGACACTGACACTCCCCTTTTCTGTCTAGACCTTTTCTGTCTAGACCTTGGGATGATATACACTACATGGCCTAAAGTATGTGGACACCCCTTCAAATTAGTACATTAGGCTATTTCAGCCACACCCGTTGCTGACAGGTGTATAAAATCGAGCACACAGCCATATAATCTCCATAGCCTAACATTGGCAGTAGAATGGCCTTACTGAAGAGCTCAGTGACTTTCAACATAGCACCGTCATAGGATGCCACCTTTCCAACAAGTCAGTTTGGCAAATTTCTGCCCTGCTAGAGCTGCCCCGGTCAACAGTAAGTGCTGTTATTGTGAAGTGGAAACGTCCAGGAGCAACAACCGCGAAGTGGTAGGCCACGCAAGCTCACAGAACGGGACAGCCAAGTGCTGAAGCCCATAGAGCGTAAAGATCTTCTTTCCTCGGTTGCAACGCTCACTACGAGTTCCAAACTGCCTCTGGAAGCAACGTCTGCATAAGAACTGTTTGTCGGAAGCTTCATGAAATGGGTTTCTGATGGCCGAGCAGCCGCACACAAGCCTAAGATCACCATGTGCAATGCCAAGCGTCGGCTGGAGTGGTGTAAAGCTCGCCATTGGACTCTGGAGCAGTGGAAACGTGTTCTCTGCAGTGATGAATCACGCTTCACCATCTGGCATTCCGACGGACGAATCTGGGTTAGGCGGATGCCAGGAGAACGCTACCTGCCCCAATGCATAGTGCCAACTGTAAAGTTTGGTGGAGGAGGAATAATGTTCTGGGGCTGTTTTTTGTGGTTCGAGCTAGGCCCCTTAGTTCCAGTGAAGGGAAATCTTAATACAATGACATTATAGACAATACTGTCCTTTCACAAAGGCCCTTTCCTGTTTCAGCATGACAATGCCCCCGTGCACAAAGCGAGGTCCATACAGAAATGATTTGTCGAGATAGGTGTGGAAGAACTTGACTGGTCTGCACAGAGCCCTGACCTTAACCCCATCGGTCACCTTTGGGATGAATTGGAACGCCGATTGCGAGCCAGGCCTAATCGCCCAACATCAGTGCCCGACCTCACTAATGCTCTTGTGGCTGAATAGAAGCAAGTCCCCGCAGGAATGTTCCAACATCTAGTGGAAAGCCTTCCCAGATGAGTGGAGGCTGTTATAGCAGCAAAGGGGGGACCAACTCCATATTAATGCCCATGATTTTAGAATGAGACGTTCGACGAGCAGGTGTCCACATACTTTTGTAGTGTATATTACTTAAATAGCTGACGGCTGAGCTCAACAAAACTGCCATGAAACCTTGAAATGCTGCGCAGAAACCATGGCCTAGCCCTGATTTGTAAGCCTTGTATATTAGCTGTTAGCTATTGTTGTCAATGCAGCTCGGCAACAGCGATGGCGATAATTCACGGGTTGATATTGATTTCTGGAGCAGCTGAGACTCGGCCCACCCACCCTATAGCAGTAGATCTGTTTGTCCACCCGTGGAAATCCAATAGGATTCATAAATACAGACGGCTAATGGCCACAGTGCTAGAGACCACACAAAGACATGGTTCACACACACACACACACACACACACACACACACACACACACACACACACACTGCTCATAGTGAGTCATTGCACTGCAGTGTCTATGCTCTGATTTAACAGAGTATCTGGCTGTGAGCCCTCCCCTCCCACTGACTCACTAACTGACATAGGTACACACGCACACACACACACACACACACACAGAGAGAGAGAGACGCACACACACTGTCCCTCTTAGATCTGAGCATGGTGTCAAAAGTTAATCCGGTGAAGGTGGAGTAAACAGTAGTTTTGGGTGAGATTTCTGAAACTCATGACATTGGCCTGTCGTTGTGTGTGTAGCTCAGGTCTCTCTCTCCCTGTGGCACGATGTGTCCTTGTTTCAGAGGTGAGGTGAAGGCGAGGCAACGTAGCTATTCTAATAGGCTGCCACCTTTCTGATTACACCAGCTGTCTTATTATATTACCAGAGTTACAAATTGAAACCATCCTCCTCCTCTCCCCTCCCACACAGAGTTAATTAGAATGTCTTCATAGTTTAATAGCGCATGTTTAATCATGTGGAACAACCCAACATCATTCCCTCTATGACTCAGAACACAGTTGATGTTTCATATGCCATTGACGAGGTATCAAACCCTCCTTCTGTCTCCATTGGTCATATTACCTTGTTGGTGATGGATTGACTGATTGGGTTGGTTCATTGATGTACAGGTGCTTGTTTGTCTTCTCTCTGCAGTGGTCACATCAACTTGACGATGCTGGGAGCCATGCAGGTGTCTAAGATGGGAGACCTGGCCAACTGGATGATCCCGGTACGAACATCTGTTATCCTCTCTCTGTTATCCCCACCTACAAATGTTTATCCTCTATCCGTCTCTATTATTATTATTATTATATTATTATTGTTATTATTATTATTATTATTATTGAAGTTATGGTTGTTTGCTACCCTGAATGCGGCTTCAGAAGCCTTTGCACCCCACTGAAGAAGAAGCTCACATACTTTACTGTGTGGTACAAGGTGATGGCTCCTCTTCTATTGATGCCCAGAGCTACAGCACCGGGAGAGACTTAAGTAACACAACACAAAACAACAAAAGATTGTATTCATTCACTGCTTTTATGTTGTTTTTGTCTTTCTGACATGGACTGCACACTCCATCTCTCTACTGCGCGCCTCTGTGTGTCGTTACGTTGTAGACAAACAGCTTACCAAACCAGCGTGCCCCTGGCTCTGCCCCTGCTCCTTTGCCTGCCATTATGACCTGTATTATCATTTCTGACCTGTTGGGAGCTGTAATGGAGTGATTGTGTGGTAGGTCTCAGTTATTACCTGAGGCTAGAGCAGGTCAACAGGGCTGTAGCCACTTCCAGCGCGACGGCAGGAACACACTCAGCGCAAATACTGTACGTCTAGTGAAGCACATTGGGCTGATGTTTTTGTTTATGTTCACCAAGTGTTGTATGTTCTGGTCTTAATAATAAGAGAGGTAAAGGGGATAGATGGACAGACAGACAGATGGCTGGGAACGGGCACTATGACATTTGATAAGACCTAGGCAAAATACCAGATCTGGGTATAGAATGTTCAAATGACACAGATGAAGCCTAGTCCTGGACTAAAAAGCATTTTCAATGCAAAATCCCTGTTGAACTTGCTTTTCAATCCAGTACTAGGCATAACCTGTGTCCGGGAAACCGCTCCTAAGGCTGTGTTAACACAGGCAGCCCAATTCTGAACTTTCTTTCACTAATTGGTCTTTTGACCAGTCAGATCAGCTCCGAAAAGGTTCTGACGTGAAAAGATCTGATTTGATTGGTCAAAAGACCAATTGGTGGAAAAAAAGATCAGAATTGGGCTGCCTGTGTAAACGCAGCATATGTCTATTAGACTGTTATTAATCTGATCTCTTAGCTTTCCATTAGCCGTTTTTGTCTTTGGTAATTGATAATTGGCTGGTAGCCTACTTGATTTACTGTGTTATTTAACTAATGTCTTAAACGCTGAGGACACACAAGGTACTGGATGAGGTTGCTCTGTAAGGACAGTGAGCGTTCATTCGTCTGTCTTTCTGTCTTTCTGACAGTTACACAAAGAAGCTGCATACACCCATCTGCCTCGCCCCCATCTCGTTTCAATCTTCATTATGTGGAACTCTGAGAGGAAGGAGAGGAGAATTAAATGTCCCTGCTGCGATTATGAAATGTATTCAATATCTAAAGATGGGTGCAAAGCGTGAAATTAGAAACGATTTACGTAGGAGTCACAAATGCAGCGTACTGCTGCAGCGATTATGTCGATTATGGACGCTTTTAATAAGCGAAATGCAGATGAACATTTTACGGTCCAGGGCTTTCAAATGCTCTTACAATTGATGACTGTCAATCTCCTGCTCAGCCAGGCTGGCGGAACAACAACCCAACAGATCATCACATTCTGAACATATTGTTTTTCAGTTTGTAGCTAGACATGTTTTTCCGCGTATTTTGATTAAACTTGTGTTCCTAGCTTGATTATTTGATTGGGATTGGGAAATGCTTGTCTGTCTGAGCTGAAGAAAAAAAATCAATAGTATATTGTTTACCAAGTAAAAAAAACTGTGAAATTGGACGATATTTCCTCCTTTTTGAAATGGAGCCGCTTTACAGCCCACCAGAATAGAATAGCTTCTAAGTGTATGTAGTTTATGATGAATCTGTTGTTCCTTTCTCTCTGTAAGTGTTCATCTGATTGGCCTTAATGTGATGAATGAGGCTGGGGGAGTAGTTTATGTGTGTGTTTACAGCTAGGTTCTGCTCTACTGATTGCAAGTCAGTCCCAAGGGACTGTTTAACTCCCTGTGGTGCCTAGGCTGCTCCTAGCCTGCTCCCTCTGTCAACTCCCAGGGACATCCATCTCCAAGGCTGCGCTCCAAATCCACCCCTAGACCCTACACTAGGGCACTTCATGTAGATCAGAAATTGGCAATCAGGTCATATTCGAAACCCTTTCCTCAGCACTTACTGACTCCCTAAGATCCGATAGGCCTGGATAGGTATAAGGTAAAGACCGGTGTTGCTGATTGGTATAGTACAATCAGGTGTATGCTATTAGTCCTGGGATAGTAACAAAAGCCTTCACACGCTATATCTTTCCAGGACCTGAACTGGTG